GACGCTCGGTGATACCTTGTACACGCGCGGCGCGCGCAGAAAATCCGCCAACTCCTGCACTGCAAGAGCCTCAAAGGCGCCAGCTATAAGCTCTTCTCTTGCCGCCTGAAACAACTGAAACCATTTCAAGAGATACGGCACCTGCGCGCGCTCCTGTTCACTCAGCAGACCACCTTCGCACAATGCCGGCAAAACGGCACACCAAATGATGCAATCAATAAGAAACGAAGGGGTTGCCTCCGTCCCCTCCGCGGGAACCATACAAAGACCCCTACAGTTGTTTGCGCTGACCTTATTGTCAAGGTACTCAAACACCGCCATGGCCTCTGGCGTCGCCCGGCGCTGGGTATACAACGAATGCACCGCCCGCGTGAAGGTGGTCGCCTCCCACTCCATCCAGGCCTCCTCCTCCAGTGAAGCATTCGACAAAACGCTCTTGTTACTGTCACCATTGCCGGGCCTGCTGTCATTCCCATTCGTGAGTCCATCTGTGCAAGTGCAGTGCAGAATCACACGCGCCATCTCGTTCGCGGCGAAAATGGGTTTCTTGAACGCCGGGTGATGAAGCGCTGGAAGTGTGTGCGAGCCAGAGAGCGTCAACTCCACCGGCCGCTGGGCATAGTAGCAGCAGAGCAGCGCCTTGAGCGCCTGCGTGTTCGCCTTCTCTGAAAGCAACCTTAAGCTCATTATCCTCTCCTTCTGCGGTTCCTGAAGTTGACACCAACAACTGTCGCCGCGTCCACGTCCCACGTTCCTTTTTTTTATCTCCGTTTATCTTTTTTTTTTACGCAATTTGCCTTTCGTTGATCGTTACCAGATGGAAAAACAAAACAAAAAATGATTGACGCACACACGCTCGTGTGTATATGTGTGTGTATGTGTGTGGGTTGACACGCGCAACGCAAACAGTAACGGTTTTCGCTAATGCCCTCCTGGTTATTGTCTACTTGGTTGTGTGTCTCGTCCCTCCCTCTCCTGTTGAATGCCTTGTGCACGCTCCGATTTTACCTACGGCTCTGCGGCGGTGCGGAGAAAACACACCCCGGCGTTGTCCCCCGCGCCAAGAGAAAAAAAAGAACAAAAACAAAACGGAGAAGGAAAAGGAGCGGAACTGCAACGCGGGTTGCGGCGGCAGAAAGACACGGCGTGGAGCAAATACAGACACATTGAGTGAGATAAAGGCACGGCAAAGGAAGTGAAAGAAAAGAAGAAGAAAAAGGAAAAAAAAAAAAAAAAACAAACGCTGAGTACATTCGTGAGATAAAATTCAAAGGAGAAAAAAAAACACACACACGCAAACAAAAATATTTTAAAAAACATAAAACTAAAAGAAAAAAAAAGAAAAGAGAAAAGGAATATTTCTCTGACGCAACCATCTCTAACGGGGAGCATCAGTGACCCACTCAACATGCAATGAAAAATGTGCAATTTTAGTTAAATAGTAAAACGCCGATGCGTTTACACCCCGCAGCCCCCACCCTCTCACATTTGCCTCCTTCCGTCCTTCCGTCCTTCTTCCTTCCAACACTCCTCCCACCATCCCGCCCGCGCTCCCGCCTATGGTGAGTTCCTTCACCTCCAAAAACGCAAACACGCAGCCGTTGTAATAGTAATAATAATAATAGAAACACGGGGAAATGTCACATGCAATCCTCCCCTTGTGTGTGTGTGTATGTGGTGGGGAGGGAGAGCGGGGAGGAACGCGGGAAGGAGGGCAGGCGATGCACGTCAGAGATACAGTAATGTAATGTAATGTAGTTGTGTACAGGGAGCACCTGTTGCTGTGTGTCTCATATCTCTGAGAACACTTTCCTTAAATGTGATATTATTTCCTCTTTTTTTTTGTTCTATTTTTCCTTTTCGTTCTTCTCTTGATTGTTATGGTGCATCCCAACTCGTCTTTTCCGTTTTGTTTCATGATGACCCGGAGCGTTGTATTATTTGCACCTTGGTGGCACCTGCGCCCTCGCTGACCGTCTCGATGACCATGATATTTATATTTTTATTTATACATCGATCCATGTATTCATTCTCTGCCTTCTCCCAATCCTCCTCTCTTTTTTTTTTTTTTGGGTTTGTGTTGTCGTTTCTGCTCGCTCTCTTTCTCTTTCTCTCTCTCCTCGATTATTGTCACTCCTCCCGCACCGCTCGCCCACACACCCCAACGCTGTAATAACTCGTAAACAGTCCTCTCACTGCCTATTTCTACGCCTTTTATTTCTTTTTTCGTTTTTGTTTCAAAATTATACTTCAGTCACGTCCTCATCCCCCCGCAGCCACAGGACCCCGCTATTGATACCAGCCGCAGTCTCTGTTAAAATGTTTGTGTGGCAACTCGCAACTTTCGCTTGCCTCCCCCTCTGTTTGCTTTCTCTACTTCGCATAAACGTATGGGTTGCTGCGATTCTTGTCGACGTTATTATTTTCATACGCAACTACATAACCAGAAAGACGAGAAATGCATAGATACATGCATATAGGCAATATCTAAACATACACAGCACACATACTAAAAAGTGCCACTGTGTAGAGGGTAAAACTGCGTCGCAATGAGGCGGTAAACCGCATTAAACCGTTTTCTTCCCAGCTGTATATCCTCCTGACGGCATCCGACTCAAACTTTTGCCACTGTTGCCTGCTGCTGTTGTCTTTGCTGCTGCTGTGTGCTTCGGCTCTCAACAGAGCGGCGTAGCTTATGGAACATGCTCTCTAGGAACGATGTGCAGCTGATAAAACTCTTCTCCCAGAAGCCGTACTCTGGCCCCCGCATCGAGCTCCATAAACGTGCTGAGCACACCCCATGGGTGCGGCTGAATGATGAGGGTCTTCTCTACCGCCACGCGGGTAATCTGCTCCTGAATGCAGAGCCGCGTTGCCGGGTTGCGGATCGACTGGTGCGGGAGGAACAACTGCAGAACAACCTTCATGAAGAAGTTCGTCTGACAGTTCGGGTAGCGAAGGTGGTTGGCGCAGGAGCAGAGAAAGTGGTATCGGTGCTTATGGTCCAGTGTGGCAGCAAGGTAGCGATAGAATTGCATGGCGTTTGACTCTGCAAAGTCGGGCTTGATAATGAGCTCACTCTCCTCAAGGTACACGATGCAGACGTGGAGAACAACGGCGCTCATCAACCGCCACGTGTTAAGGGACTGCAGCTTTTCCACGACGGTCCGCATGTACACTTCATCTATCGGGCGTTCGCTGCGTATCTGCTCCGCCAACTGACTACCATCAAAGCCGTGCTGCAAGAAGCTCTCCTCAATGCACTTCACCTGGTTATCCGTGCTCAGCGGTTTCCGCATCTCAGGGCTATCATCCGGCACGCGCTGAAAGAACTCTGGCAGCTTTACCCCAGACGGGAAGGAGCACAAGACCGTGTTAAGCAGCTGTACACAGTACGGTGGAATGGCGTCACAAAACTGGTAGTGGTAGGTGATAAGGAACCGCGAGTAGTCGTGAGTAAGAACTAGCATCAGCTTGAAGAAGGCCTTGTAGAAGACGAGAACGTTCTTCGGAATCGTCTCATCACGGGTGAAGTACTCGATGAACTCCAGTCCCTGCACCAGCAAAGCAACATAGTACGGCCACAGCGCCAAGGTGCGCAGGCAACGATTCAAAAAGATGCGGTGGCTTACAAGCTCCAACCATCCAAAGGCGAATGCGGGATACTTCATCGGCGACAACCGGTGCAGTAATTCCGCAAAGGCCTGCGTGACTTGCTCTGTCGTCTCACGGTTTGGTGCATCAGTGCGTACCAGCGTTGCGAAGAGGTTACTGAAAAAACGCACATACGGTTGTTGCTGGAACACAGGCACGTAGGCCGTATCGGTGGGAAGCTCTGGTTTGGCGAAGAGAGGGTGCTGCTTCTGCTGCAACTGCAGCACCACGTTCTGGTGGTGGTCAATAAGGGTGCGCTGAAAGGCATCCAGAATGCGCCGAAGCAGGGAGAGAAGCTGGCGGGTATCGTTCTTTAAAGAGCAATAGTATAGTAGCACCATCGCCAGATCCGAAAAAGCGTCTACTTTTGCAAAGAGTCTGCCGTCGTATGGGTAGCGGTGCGGGGGGGCGTTACCGGGCTTCCACTCGGCCGTTAAGACATTAGGCAGCGTCGATGGACTGGCACGCTCCAACTCCAACGTTTTCGTGGCGTAGTGCTCCACGCAGAAGCGAATGGAGAGGCTCAAGAAGGTCCCAAGCTGGTGGGCTTCCAGCTGGCCCTGCCTACGAAGGGTCAAAATGTACTCGTACTGTGGTGGGTTCTTGCTGCTTGAGGTCGTCCCCGACGACGAGGTCGTGGCGGAAGTGGAGATCTCAGACGACGTCCCGTGCGTTCGTTGACCATTGATATCCATCCATTCATCAAACAAACGACGAACCTTCTCCAGCTCCTCCGGGTCATACTGAATTTGTGACAACACAACCAGCCGCCGGACGTGCGCCGGCACCAAGGAAGAAAGCAACGGATATAGATTAATAACAGGGGGGGGGCTGGCCTCCTGCTGCCGCAGCAGCGGTAGCAGGAGCGCCTTCCGGGAGTTGCCGCTGCTGCTGCTGCTGTTGTTGTTGTTGATGTGGGTGTTGCAGCTGCGGGTGGGGTTGTTGCTGCTGCTTGTCCGCCACCGCCCGTGGCGGGTGGGCCACCTTCTCTAGTTGGGCCAGTGTGTCTTTCATGTTTTTCGGGACGACAAGTTTCTCTGTAATGAGTGCCTTCCTGATAATGCTCCCAGCAAAGGCTACTGCAGGTCCTGACATCGGAGTGTCCTCAATTGCCTTCGAGAGGGCCTCATCGAGCCTCGCCACGTTGATGACCTTGATGCGCAGCAGATTGGTGACGAGGTCGGCGTCGCGCCAGCGTCGTTCGTCTTGCAAAAACAACCGTGTCAGTTCCTCTCGCACGGGTTCCTTGCCGCGCTCAAAGCAGGTCTGCAGAACAAAGAGGTAGACCTCGTTAAAAAACTCACAGACTTTTCTCTGGCGAATGGTGCTAGGATCCATGCTGGCCGCGTTGGCCTCCATCTGCTTCATCGCATCCGAGAGTGCCAACAGCTTGCTAAGCAGATGACCAACACAGTAAAAGGCCGTGCCACTCGTAATCATGTTAGATAAGTTAATCACACGCGCCCGTATGGTGTCTTGGTTGTCCTCCAAAAATTTGTTCCTAAACTCAGGGCTTGTGAGTGAAAGGGTTTTGCAGTTATCCTTTGAGTAGTGCGCCACGGTGCCCTCCTCAATGGTGCTCAGGTACGTTGCCAAAAGCCCTACGATGGGAACGTTGTTTCTATACTCTTCATACACCGCGCGCTGCAGGGGTGGGACATTGCGTGGGGGCCGCAGCACCTCACCCATCTGCATTAAGACGTCCTGCACTGCGTAGTACTCGTTGGGGATGCGTGGAAATTCATGAGCATTAATGGCCTCCAGCTTTTCCCTCACCGTCTGCATCAGCTTGTCGTGGACCCGCCTTTCAGCCTCCTCCGCTGCCTGGTACTCCAACACGCGGACACACAACTCCATGTTGTTTTCCCGCACTCTAGTGCGGAGTCGATCGCGTCGCTCCGCCGCGTTGGGAACACTGGCGTCGATAAAGTGCTCCGCAAGCACGGCGACGTGTTTGTTAAACGGCTCGATCATGATATCACGAACGGTGACGGTGCACAAGTTTGCCGCCAACGAACGCGCCATTGACTGACCTGCGCGCAGCATGCCTCCCATGTCCTGGTCAAGCAGAAAGTCCTTCGTCACTATACTGCACGCCGTCACCGTGGCGACCACCACTATACGCTGCAGCGGCACTTTTGCATCTTGCACAACTTTTTCAAGCGTGCGAACAAGCGACGTCCTGTACGCGTCCAGGCAAATTGCAAAAAAGCTCACATCTTCGTCACTTATCCGCACACTCTCTGGCGTAATGTGAATCGCTGGATGGCTCGGTACGACACTATCCCCACTAGGCATGGCGCTTGCAACCGGCATGGTATCCTTTGGCTTGAACGGCTCTGCACTGGCTTGCAGCTGGCGAGTCTGGCGCGGCTGCTGCTGCTGTTGTTGCTGCTGCTGCTCTTGCGGCACATGTTGAACTGCATGCGGTTGTTGCTGTTGCTGTTGCTGTTGCTGCGGCTTCTGTTGCGACGCCATCAGTGGGGAGGATTCCTGGACGTCCTTTTCATCCACGCGGAAGTCGCCGCTCTGGTTAAAGTTAATCTCCTTGTACACGTCCGACAGGCACAGCTGCGCGGTGGGGCTGATGGGGTGGAGCGTGTAGTACCGCTCAATATCCTTCAGTGTCACATTCATGTGCTTGCACAGCACCTCCACCTCAAACCGCAGTGTCACACGCAGGTGCTTCAGGTTGTACATTTCCCACAGCAGACACAGCAGCCGCATCGTCCACGGATTAGGCGGACAAAAGAAGTGCGAGCTCATGCAGTGGTGCAACACACGTGAGACGCATGACACCACCGCCATGAGTTTCCCCTCTCGCAAACCCATAAAGATCAGGTCTTTAAAGCAAAGGTCTTGCACCGTGATAGGAATGTTCTTCGCAAGCGTCAGATGTCCCAGCCAAAAACCGAGATTTTTCAATAGGCTGCGCTCACCAGGGTCTGCGCGGATCTTGTCGGAGTTTAGCAGTCGCTTGATGGACGCAACTGTCGCGTTGCGTATCGCCTTCTCCAGCGGCTTTGACTGCAGTTTATCCAGAAGTTCCAGGTAGATGTTGTGGTAGTTTGGCTCAAGCGCCGCCCGCTTGATCACAAGGTACTCCGCAAAGTATTCATAATACTCTGGACGCAACTGCTTGGCAAGCTCACTGGCGTTGTGCTCAATATTGTGCTTGTCTGTGTTACCAATAAGGAAGTTTATCTGCTCCTGAATGACGCGCGGGGGGGCGGTGATGTTCCTGGACGACAGCAGCGTTCCAATATCGTGCTGGTGCAAGGTCGCTGCGGCGGAGCGTTCCTTATGCTGATCTGCCGCTGCTGCTATCGCATCACGGCGCTCGGTGCTAACCGCAAGCACAGCCGGATCCAAGAGCAGTGACTCCGCCTCCTTCGTCACTGGTTTCTCGGGCGGCGGCGGCTGCCGATTCTGCTGCTGGCGAGCGGCTTCCTCTGCCTTAATGCCGCGGTTGATAGCTGCCATAATGCCTGGAATTTTAATATCAAGATCCTTCACGTGGCGCAGCGCACGCCCATACTGCGGCCATTCCGCCAACCGTGGTTTGATCTGCTCCAGGGAGATGATACCGCACTCCTCCACCATGTGGTCCTTGGGCTTGACAATGGTGGGAAGCAACAGACCCCACGCATGTTGCTGCTGGTTGTGTGGCAGCAGTTCCCGTGCAATCATTTGCCCGTACAGCACGGCAAACATCTGCAGTTCCTTGTGTGGATAGCAACCAATCGCACCGTGTTCCTCGAACATGATGCTCAAAATACAGGCGTACAACTGCTTATCGCGGGCCTTGGAGCTTTTCCGTAGCTGTTCAATAAATGCAAGCGAGGCAGCAATTGTAGGATCTCCCATGGCGTACATGCGCCTGTAAAACTCATTTGCATCATTTTCAACGTCCGAGGGAAAAAGTGAGTCCGAGGAAGCCAACAAGGCACGTGCCTGTTCTGCCACATCACGTAGCACATCCTTCAATGACGAGGCTAGGAAAATGTTAAGCGCCGCTGTCGCGTTGGGCACATATTTTTGCTTGATGATTAGCTGCTCTGCCACCTCAACAATAGACATGGCCACAGCAAACCGATTTTCGGCGGCGTTAGCACGAAAGTGCAGCTTCCCTTCAAGTGCTTTGCTGATCCACGTGTCGCCGGGCTCGGCAACATCGTCCACACACATTGCAATGGCCGTAACGAGTCGTGGGTTACCGCCGCTTGCGAGGAATGCCTTGACAGCCGTCTTAGACCTCAGCACCGTCTCCATCACCTCAATCGTACAACTTGGGTCCACCATGGTCAGCTCTGACAAGACCATGACGACGGTATCAAGGCGCCCACGCTTCTCCGACTCTGGCAAGACGACAGCTGCGACACGGTCCAGGGCAAGCCAACGCTCCTTGAGTATCAACTTCGCCGTACTGAAGTTTTTCACCGTTCCCGGAAATGTGCCAAAGAGTAAAATGGAAAACAGGAGCAAAGGGTGCCTCTCTGCAGCGGGGCGAAGAGTTTCCATGTCAAATTTGCGGTCACGGCTAGCGACATGCACGGCAGCTTCTACCACGGGAAAAAAGCGCCATAAGTCGCTTTCGGCCAAACGCGTTGTGCCCGTTGTTGCCGCTGGAGAAGCTGCCGCTTGTGCTGCGGAAGCGGCTTCTAAAAACTCTGCCGGTGCCATCTGGTCCCGTGACAAGCATTGCAGCGAGACCTTCTCGGGATGTTTCAAGATGTATTCAAGGGCGCTGCGTTGGCGCCCAACGTTGCTCCAACGACCGAGAAATATTGTCACCGGCGGATACGTGCCTGGTGTCTCAGTTCCTTTAAATTTGTAGTATGCGTCAAAGACGATGGCAACGTGCTTTTGTTTGAAGGCCTCCTCACCAGGTTTATCCAGCAGGCGGAGGATGGTGTCCCAATCCATCTTGGTCGAACTCCGTTCCTGCAAGAGCTCAAGCAGAGGAATAGGTGAAATGGTGGCGCTGTGCTGTGTCTTCGTGGGCTCCCTCCCGGCCAAAGACATCAGGGCATTGTAGGTGTTGATGTCAGACGGCGCACTTCCCTGCGAGGCAAAGAAGCCTAGCACCTCCGCCACGTCACTCTCCGTGAAGGGATGTGGAAAGAAGCTAAGTAACTCCCGACAATCAGCCTGCGTCGCCACACACGCGGTTCCAAGCTCTTGTATGGTTTTGGACAGACTAACGTGCGTGTCGGCGACGCCATTAGTCGAGAACGACGTCACACTGGTAAATGCACTGGTTAATTGTTTACCGAGAGACTCCACGTTACCAGCCTGACGTGCCAGAATGCCCAAGGCCCACATGCTACCGTTGTCATCCTTCAATATGGCTTGGGAAACACTAAACGAGTTCAGAAACCCCGTTGCCGCCTCTTTGCCCTTGGTGCCGCCAAGAGAAAGTCCCATGGAAAACTGCAGCTGCTGAACAGGTGAGAGTTTCAGATCCTTTACCATGAGATTTGTAAGCATTTCCGTCGTCACTAACGTCGGTGACTCCTCAACGGCGGTCCCAACCAATGTGAGAGCGTTGCTCTTTTCCAGTGCCGCACACACAATCTTGGAAGCCAGGATGCACTTATCCTCGTTCTGCGGTGATTTCCACATCGCTGAAACTGCCGCCATGACAATAAAACGGTGCAGTTCAACCGACTGCGTGGCTATTTTTTCTAACGTCTGGAGGGTCGTTTGCAAGGTGTTCTTCGTGGCTGCTGCAACTAGGTAGCGGACGGCGGCCCCACGAGAGCTGCTGATGTCGGTGGTGTGTTCGTACAACATCGTTCTATAACGTGTTGGGAATATATATTAAACCCAAATGTATGCCTGCTTTGTTCTTATTTCTTCCTCGGTTCTGCCTGTGTTCTTCAATCTGGTTATAGCTGCTGTGTCACCCTATCTGTCAGTGACAAAGAGAGAGGCACAACCGTTCTGACCTTCACTCGTTTCTTTTTATTTTTTCGTTTTTTTTTTGTATTTTATTATTTTCTTCTTTATTTCACTTGTTGGCTTGTTCGCTTTTACTGCTGCTATAGTCGTACCTCCTTTGTTCCTTTATCTCCTGCTTGGCAAGGGAGTGGATGCCGACCAGTACGTGTGAGAAATACACCTTTACTACTGATCAACGGTTGGGAAGGGAGAAAAAGGGAGTAAGAGAGATATGTGCGTGTGTATATCTCCAGCCAGTAATAGGAAGATGCTGAGTGAGGGAGCGGGCTGCAACCAAACGTGGTCAACTTGACCCTCCCCTATGCTGTGACGCAGTTGTGCGTGCGCCTGCCCACGTACCTGCCCGTTTGTCGTTGCTCGTCCAATATGTCGCCCGCCCGCGTCACTCGTCTTGGGTTTGTGCGTGTGTGTTTTGGTTGTTTCTGTTTTTGTAGACTTTATTTCTTCCTGCAAGAGGGGTAGGGAGGAGAAAAGCGAGGGTGTTTTTTTTTGGTTATTTGTTTTTCCTTTTTGTTGTCTTCTGCTGGTGTATTTTTGCCACCGCTGCTACTGCTGCTTGTGCGTTTGTTTGTTTGGGTCTCTCTTCACGTGCGCTGCGTTGCTTTTGAGTAAAAACAAACAAAAAAAAGAGAGTGAGGAGAAGAAGATTATTTTTTTTTCTTTTTTGAAGTTCCCTCCCCACAGGGGCAAACGGGTGATGAGGCAAAAAAAAAAAAGAGGGAAGGGGAGGGAGGGGGGAATTGCTTGTGGCGCGTCAACGGACTACGGGTTTTGCAGGCAAAGAGGAAAGCAGAAACCGTTTCCCGCTTGGCTCCTTCGCTCTCCCTTTTCCCTGCTCTCTTCGCTCAGGTGCAGCAGCCCCGCGTCCCGCCCGACCCAGACGGTTGCCCCGTGATGGGGGCTGTCGCCGCACGCAAACTCACCGTCGCAGGCCCCTGCTCCCGCGCCCTGCGGGTGTCGGTGTAAGTGTAGTCCGCACTGGCAAGGGCGACGGCGGCCCCACGCACCACCGGCGAAGCATTGGCGTCGCCCCTCCCCGCTGTGGGAGCCTGGCCTCTGCTGTCCACCGGCTCGTCCTGCAACTCCTCAATTCGAAGAAGGCCACGTCGCCTACGGCGGTCTGCTGCTGCCGTCACGCTGCCGGGGTTATTCGCAGTCCCTGCGCTCGTGGCACCACTGCCACTGCCACGCCCTCCAGACGCCGTCGCTATTGCCGTCGCTAAAGCCTGAAACGCCTCCGCCACATTATCGCCGGTTTTCGCACTCGTGTCAAAGTGCAAGGCACCCTGCGCCTTCGCAAACGCCACCGCCGTCTCCCTGGCAATGTCGCGGTCCTCCTCTAGATCCGACTTGTTGCCGCAGATGACGAGCTGAATGCGGCTCCCCACGACAGCCCGAAGCTCTCGAATCCACAACCGCACCTTCTCGAGGGTGTCAGCGTCCGTGATATCGTACACCAGCAGCGCCCCGTCGGCGTTGCGGTAGTAAATGGGACCGAGTGCGTGAAACCGTTCCTGCCCCGCTGTGTCCCACACATTGAGGTTCACTGTGGCACCGCTGCCGTCTAGCAACGGCACGTCAGCACTCATGTGCATGCTTGCCTGGATGGTGCTGCTCTGGTTCTCATCAAATGTGTCCTGCACAAAGCGTGACACCAACGACGTCTTTCCCACGCGTCCCTCGCCGAGGAGAATCACTTTGTGCCCCGGCAACATGAAGGATGTGGCAAGAAGGAAAGCTAGTGTCACGACAACGTCCCTCCCTCTCCTGCCACCTCACCACCACCAGCCCACACAACCGAGGTAGTGTAAGGAAGAAAGAGAATAAACTAATCCTTAGCGTCCCCTAAGGGAAGATGCAAGGGGCAAAAACAAAAACAAAAAACCATATACTTTAGCTTCCGCAAATAGTACACAGTAAACTCGCCGCAGCCACTGAATGCAAGAGAGTCCGAGGCGCCTCCTCAGCATTATCCCTCAAGATTAACATGCTGACAGGGGTGATGATGTTTGAAGACGCCTTCACTTCATTCCGCCGCCTGCACGACGCGTTAGAGACAGTCGGGTTGGTGGGATGCCTGCATCTTCTCTCTGCGTCATCTTTTACAGTGCGAGACAGAGGACAGGAAGAGGTGCTGATAGGGCGTTCTTAGAACACACACACACACACACCTGTAGGGCGCGGTTCACACTCCTCGCAAGCCCCCAACAAAAAAAAAAAACGACACACACACACACGCAAGAAAAAAAAAGAAGAAATAAGCGGCTTGCTGATGCTCATGCTGAGGTCACTGGTGCGTCAAATAGCACGTAAGTAGGGTGTATGCATCTTTTTGGAGGTCATGATGGTGGAGCCCATCGGAGTTTATGCCCGCCTCCGCGGCACAACCCGCAGCCCGTGCTCACGAAGCAGCTCCCCCGCCTCTTTTCCCAGCCGTTGCTCCTCCACCCGCTTCGCCAGGTACTCTTCCTGCTGAGCCAGCGCAAGGAAAGCCTCGTGCAGCCGTTCCATCTCCAACCGCGCCGACGTTGTCGCGTTCGCCGCGGGTTCCCCCACCGCGGTGGCCTGTGGACGGTGCGAGGAAATGTGACTTGTTACAAGATCAAACGTCACAAACGGCAGCTTCAACTTCTTCAGTCGCTTAGTCGCCGACAAATGTGCCCTGCCACTTCCACCCCGTAATTCCGGCGCAGCAAAAAGAAGATTTTCACCTTCAGCCCCATTTTTTGACTCAAAGCCCTCTTCCCCATGGTTGCCCACCGCGGCGGCAGCAACATCATGTCGTGTAGCGTCTGCGCCACACATTTGCCACCTCCGCAATTCCGCTTTCAGTGCGGCGTCCAACGAGTAACGGCCCCTCATGTTTTCTCGCACCTTCTCCTCCAGCTGTGCCTGCAACTCTGCGCTTTCAGCGACGCAGTTGCGTGTTCCGTGAGGACCATCCCCCCGTCGCCCTCCCACGTGAGCCCTGCGACGCAATGAGGCCCACAAATCCGTGAGTTGCTCCCGTACCCCCGTCGCACGAAAACGAATGAAGGTCTCGTTCAAATTCCACCGCGCAGAGCCCTCATGCTTCCCCTCCTCGCCCAGCGGTTGCCGCAGCCATGTCAGCTCGTCGTCCTCGAGTGCCTTTACAACCTCTGCCTCAAGTCGCTGCTGCTGCACCGACGACATCTCTAGTCGCACGGCGCGCGCCACCAGTGAGCCTAACTGTGAAAGCTGCTGTGTGGTTTCTCGCACACGTGCTTCCATCCCACACAGGTGCTGCAGCCCAGCGCACAGCTGACGGTAAGCGCCGTGGTGTGCGGGGTGACACAACTGAGCGTCGAGGGCGGAGTGTAACCCCAAAGAAACGGTTTGCTCCGTCCGCTGATGCAGGGCACGCTCAATGCGATTCACGGAAAGCGTAATAAGACGCTGCATGGAGAGTAGCCGACGCGTCAGCTCCGGAAAATGCATCCTCAGCGCGTCCCGTTCATCCAACGCGGCGGGAAGAATTCGCCGTATTTGCTCCAAGCGGTAAGCAATGCTCTCCTCCTCTACAAACGATGCGGGTGGCCACGGAACAGCCGCGGGAAAGCAACGCAGTAGTGCTTCCCCGACAGGGTCATGTGGCGTTGCTGAAGAAGTGTATTCCCTTCCCACTCCTGCCCTGACAGCATCATCCCTTGGGTTGCGGTCATCGTACTGTGGGTGACAATTACCATCATGAGTGACAGGACCCCCCTGTTGCAGCAAAAAGGCGTACGTACGCTGCAACTGTACGTATTCGGCCACTGCCACGAGTTGGTTCTCCTTCGTGAGCCATAGCAGCGCCAGCAGTAACTCGTGAATAGAGCTACGTAAAGGGGTCTGCACGTAAAAGGCATCTCGTCTGTATCCCAGCTGGGCAAATGTATGAACCACGAAGTACCACAACATAATAGAGGGGGGCACCGCAAGTCGACCACCAAACGGGATTGAACGGTGTCGAAGTCGCTCAATTAACTCTGCACGCTTTGTTGCAGGTTCTGCCGAGACCGTGGCGGGGTTTGAAGATAAAAGTGGAGATCCTCCTCGTTCGTTCATCCCCGCGTCTGGCTCAGCATGGCGGCGAGATCCTCTTAGGGCGGCAGGAGTCAAGCGGTGTCGGGGAATAAAGGCAGATCCTGCTTCTTGTTGTTGCTGGGGTCGACGCCTGGCACCTTCTTTTGCAGCCATCCGCACTTCCCACTGCAGCCTTGTAGGCACACGTTTGCAGCCGGTGCCTTTTCCCTCCTGTCTCCCACTCCCCGCGCTGTCCTCTTCCAGCTCAGGGGAGGACGATAGTGAGGAGGAGGAGGCACACAACACGTCGTCAAGATCCTCCGTGGCGACGAAAAGGCATTCCAAATCTCGCGCGTCAAATTGGAAGTCGGTGCCTGGGGCTGTGACGCAGTAAAACAACGCGTTGAACACCACTAGCCAAAGCCCATTGCAGAGCATTTCGTCGCTCAACAGCGCCTCTATTTTCCCCGACGCAGCCGTCATCGCTAGTTTGCGCTGGTAGTACCCTGCAAGGGCCTCTACGAAAGCAAAGATGCTATCTTCTTCTTCCTCCTCCTTCTCCTCCGCTTTGGCGGTGTGCTCCACCGGCGCGGATGACACGCCCACCGGCAGTTCGACCTCAAATGGAGGTAGCGCAAAGAATCCGAGTGTAGCCCACACATTCAACGCCACAGTCTGCACGCAGGAAGTGTCACACGTGGGAATTGTCGTCTTCCTTTTGTCCTTCACGTCATTCGCTGCTGCGAACGCCGTAGCCGATGGAATTGGCGGACGATGAAACCTGTTCCCCGTGACGGAAGCTAAAGATCTGGTTGTGCTTGCCCTTGTCGCCGTCACTCCTGCCAAGGCTGCCGTTGCACTGAAGCTCCTTTCCTCCTCTCCTCCTTCCTCTTCTGTCGAAGCACAATGTGTGGCTTGGAGCTCAGTTGGCAACGCCTTCTCCCGCAGGTGTCGCTCGTCCGCCAGCTTCTTTGCCAAACCCCGGACCTCACGCTCAAAGACTGCAAGCGCACCAACAAACTCATCGCACTCGTCTTTCTGCATCCCACGACTGTCGTCTTCCCCCACCATGCCTACCTCTTTTGCACGCGAGGTGGCGCCGCAGCTGCTGCTAAACGATATGATGGGCCGCACTTGCGACCGGTCGCTCGTCTTGCCCTTATTATTGTTGCTCATTGCGAGGTTTCCCCCACTCACCCCTTCCTCTCTCTCTCTTTCTGTGTGTGTGTGTGTACTGATACACTCTATTTACCCATCTCCCGCAACAAACAGTTCAAAAAGAAAAAAAAACAATGAAAAAAAAAAAAGAGCGGGCAAAACCGAAAGAAACAAAAACAAAAGAAACAGGACGCAGATATATACGCATCCGAACTTACGTAGTATACGCGGAGATGCACCAAACATGAAAAAAAAAAACCGCTATACTCTGACAGATGCAAAAAACTTCAGTTCGAGATAAAAAAAAAGGGGGGGGGGAGGGAGAGGGGGAGAGGGGGGGGGAGAAGTGGAAGTTTAACAACACCTCCAGAAACAAACACATGCATATATATATGTATATATATATATACATATATAATCGTTTAGACGTTGTAAGAATGTCGATTTTCCACGCAGCCTTTGCCAAAGACAAAATGCAGTGCGCTCCGTATGCACCTATATATATATATATATATGCGTCTCTCTCTGTCACCCCATGTGTTCAGGTAGACACAAACACGGCACGTGATCACATGGGCTGACACACACACACACAGGCGGAAATTCGCATACATACGCGATGGCACAAATGCGCCCCGTATTATGACTTCTCCCCGGCTCGCAGTCACGCCAGCATGAGCCGCAAGAAGAGAAAAAATAAGAACAAAAATAACAAGAACCCCCACTTTTTGTGTTCGCTCTATTTTTGCTCTTTTGCTCAAACCACACACACACACACACACAAGCACGCGGACCCACACAAGCACGCGCATGCGCGCGGTAAAGGAGAAGAAGAAGAAAAAACAGTACATATAACTATGTCGTTATAAGTTTGTTTTTTTTTTTTCACCGTCTTCCTTTCTGTGTGTGGGACATCCGGGGGTGGGTGTGCCAAGCAAAGACGCACGCGCACAGATATAGACTGTGCACGTGTGTATATGTTATACATGCCGGGGAGGGTAGGGGAGAGGGGGGAGCGACGTAAACAGTAACCAGCACACTGCATAGACACAAAACCCAAACAAAAAAAAAAAAAAAA